TAGTAGCTGTTACTCATGCTTACACCTTACCAGTAGAACTTAAGAGACTTGAGTTCCTGTGGAGTGATATTTTTTTCCTAGATTCCTAGTCACTGTAAAATAAAATGAAAGCAGTGTTTTTTCCATAAGGGAAAAGGTTAAAATTTATACTTTAAAGTTCCTTTGCTGAAACAGTGATAGGGAAAAAATGCCTGAAGAATCACTGGAGGTTTCTAGTTGATCATTTGTCACACTTTTGACATCTTGGGGATAAAGTGTGTGTGTATAGAAGCCAAGTGTGCTGTGTAAACAGTAGGAATTGATTATTTTGAGACTGCAAAATGTTAGGGGGGAATTGTTCTTATTAGTATGTGCTTAAGAAAATTAAATATATACATTAATCATGCATGTCTTTCCACAGATAAGCCACAATGGGTGCTTACAAGTACATCCAAGAGTTATGGAGGAAGAAACAGTCAGATGTGATGCGTTTCCTCTTGCGTGTCCGATGCTGGCAGTATCGCCAGTTGTCTGCCCTCCATCGAGCTCCACGACCTACCAGGCCAGACAAAGCTCGCAGACTGGGGTATAAGGCTAAACAAGGTGACTGGAACCAAACTTTGTTCATTTGCTTACCTGCTCTGTACTTGCGTTGCTGGTAGTCTTAAGCATATATGTTTGCCTTCAACTACCAGCCAAATTATAGTGGCCCCAGCAAGGGGCTTTCAAAGCAAGTGAGAGGCGGAGGTAGTTTGCTATAGCCTTCTTCTGCTGCAGAGCCTTCCTTGGTGGTCTCCCTTCCAAGTACCTGACCCTGCTTAGCTTCAAAGGTCTGAGGAAATCAAGCTATGCCATACCGCCCTCCCTCCCAAGCATATATAGCAGTGTGAAAATGTTGTTGCTGTTGTTAGCCATTCAGTCGTTGTACATTTTTAGCATATCAGAGAGAAAGTCTAATTCTCAATGTAGGCAAGAGTGCACCAAAGAATTTTCATGGTGCTGGAAGTGAGACCTCATTTAAACATGACTGCACAATCTCACCCTAAAAAATTCAATTCCCAATCATTTCATACTGTAGTAAATCTCAACTAGGCTAAATATCTCAGTAGTCTAATAACTGGATCAAAACCTGGGAGTTTTGTCTGTAGTGTTTTCAACAATGCATCCTCATGAAGAATATTTGTTCTCTTGGTACTTTCTGATACTGATTTCCAAATTTTACACCTTTCTCAAATATTCCCTGGTCTTTTAGGTTATGTCATCTACCGCATTCGTGTTCGCCGTGGTGGCCGTAAACGTCCAGTACCTAAGGGTGCTACGTATGGTAAACCTGTGCATCATGGTGTCAATCAGCTTAAATTTGCCCGGAGTTTGCAGTCTGTAGCAGAAGTGAGTATCCCCTTTGAGTCTTTTGTAATTCTAAATGTTCCTATTGTCTGTTGTTTCCAAAGATTTTGATAGTGGTTTTTAGATTGTAAAAATCCAAATATTTTATCTTGGCTGCAACTTGCAGTTGCCAAAACTTGTTCTCTTGGTTTCCAGTGCACCTCTTGTATCTTCAAAATTAGAAAAGCATCCAACCTCACAAGGTTTTTTTCAAGGATAAACTGGAAGAGAGTGAAGCCATGTAAGCCACTTTGTGTCCCCATTGGGGAGAAAGCCAGGATATAAATGAAGTAAATAAATAGTAGTTCTGTAAAAATAACCTTATCTGATAAAAGATGTGCATAGATGTGGGTTCAGGTGAATACTTTCCAGGTCTAACATGTATCTAATGACCAGTTTACTAATTAAGAATAATGTTAGCATTGTCCCTTAACTTGGACTGGCTGTTGGGCAAGGTGAGGCAAAACAGTCACAGTAAGCCCTTGCCAACAGATTAGCCTAAAGGCCCAAATTAGCAGTGGAGTGGTGAAATCTAAGCCACATCGGAAGCGATAGAATACTTTTAGTGCTAATAAAACAAATTGATTGCATTCTGAAATAAGCAGTGAGTGAGCATCTGGTACTCCTAATAAATGCCTTAGTATCTTTAAAACATTATCATGATCTAGAAATGAACTTAAAGCAAAATGGGCACCTTCCTTTTGGTACATGGGCAACCTAACTCGTCTCATTGTATAAAACTGGTGAATGTTTTATTCCAAATGAACATGTCAGTCAGAGTTAGAAGTGTCCTTTGTCTCCTAGCCCGCTGGAGGAAACATTAACAATCTTAACTTGAGAAACTGCATTCCATGGCAGCCCAAGGTCTAATGGAGTCCTTTGTGACAATAAAATGCCATGGCTTATGCCTGTATTCCAATAAACAGCTCATTTTAGTATTCTGATTTTTAGGGGAGATACTTGCACATCTGGCTTTAAAGGATGCTATAATACATACTGTTTTTTCAGCCTTACTCTAGAAAGGCAAATCTGCCTTTGTTGTACGTAAATTATGTAATCTGAAGCAGAAAATAGTAGAAAGAGAAACTTTCAGCCTTACTCTAGAAAGGCAAATCTGTCTTTGTTGTACGTAAGTTATGTAATCAGAAGCAGAAAACAGTAGAAAGAGAAACCAAGTGATAAAAAGATGATAATGGTTCTTTTAATAATAATTGCATGGACCATAAAAATTGTATGGATCAACAACAGAGAAGGAAACTGTCTTCAGTAAACAGCTGTTCAGTTATTTTTAACTGGATTTGTGCATGTTTTGTGTCTTTTCTTCAAGTATTCATAATTCTGAGAATCACTGCATTCAGCAAGCCCCAGGCATAGTGATTTCAGAGCTGTACAAATGCTACTCTAGGTTAGTGTGAGGGGTGGCACTTCATTGAGGTGTCTGCCCAGTACTGTGCTCATTTATTTATGCCGTCTGTCTGCGTTGTGTAATGCTCTAGCAAACTAGCTGCCAGTGGTTCTGTTATAGTGGTGACTCATTGCTGCTGCATTAGAAATTGAAAGATCAAGACTTGTAATGTTTAGCCCCCATAAGAGAGGACTCCCCTCCCCAGAAGTCTTTGCGTTCTTTGTTTGGTGTAGTTTTGAACATCATAACTGAATATTCCTATTTCCTTTTGCATGATTTTCAGCATCATCTTCCAAATCCAAGTTATACAGATGAACTGGGATCCCCAAGTTAGATTCTTGAGTTCCCCCCTCCCCCCCTTTTTTTTTGGTTAGGCTTCTTTTGTGTTCTGTTTGTGAGCTCTGTTTTTTCTTCTCCCATTTAGGAGCGCGCAGGTCGCCACTGTGGAGCTTTGAGAGTACTAAACTCCTACTGGGTGGGTGAAGACTCCACATACAAATTCTTTGAGGTCATTCTGATTGACCCCTTCCACAAGGCTATCAGGCGCAATCCTGACACCCAATGGATCACCAAGCCAGTCCACAAGCACAGAGAGATGCGTGGGTTGACCTCTGCGGGCAGGAAGAGCCGTGGCCTTGGAAAAGGCCACAAATTCCATCATACCATTGGTGGTTCCCGCCGTGCTGCCTGGAGACGACGCAACACCTTGCAGCTTCACCGTTACCGCTGAGTCTTTTGTTTGTAAATTTCCTATTCTAATAAAGCTGACCAGAGGCTTTACATTCCCACTTTTCTGTGTTTTTCTTGGGCTCAGATTTGTAACCCGAGTAAGGCGAATGTCAGCCTGTTAGCAGCAGGTAGTTAGTTGCTGTTCCCTGAGGGATGAGTAAATAACAGTTCTCACTTCAGCGTTATTTTAAAAAATAATAATAAAAAGCAACGTGCATTATCTTTTGGTAAATTCTATTTGCACTTAAGCATTAAGCTGTGGATGTACCTTATGACTATCATATCAGGAACCGGTGTTGTATTGAAGGACAGCAAACACAATCAGTTTATGGTGGCCAGAGTTGACATTCCATCTTTAAGCCAAGCTTTGGGGAAAGCAGCCCAAAATGTTTAAAATATGCTTTAAATATTGTTAGCAATTATATATTGAAATTACAGAAAATAGGAGAGATTAACTATTCCAAAAGTGCTGTAAGAGTCTTTCATAAGAAAGTAAGTAGACCCTGCTGGATCAGCACAGTGGCCCAACAGTTGCCTTGCAAGCAAAATAAACAGCATAGAGGCTGAGGCCTTCCTTGCACTGGAGTTCAGAGGTTTCATGCCTCTGTATATGGAGGTTCTGTTATAGACCTCTCTTTCATGAACCTGTCTAACCTCCCTTTAAAGCGGTCTATATTCATGGCCATCAGGGTGTCCATTGGTCAGTTAAACTATGAATGCCGCAGTTTAATTACTTGTTAAATACATATTTCCTATGCTCTGTTCTGAACATTTTTGCCAACAACTTCATAGGGTGCCCCTGAGTTCTAGTATTATGGTAAAGAGAGAAAAAACTCACTTGGTCCACTTTCTCCACCCCATGCACAATTTTATCGCTCTCTTGTGTCTTCCCTTTGCTTTTTTTTTCCGGACTGAAAAGTCCCAGCTTTTCCAGCCTCTCATAGAAAAGGTGCTCCACGCCCTTAATTGTCTTGCTTGTGCTTCTGTGTACTTTTTCCAGTTCTGCAGTATTCTTTTTGAGGTATGGTGACCAGAACTGTACACAGTATTCTACATGACAGTGTTCCCTCTAAGCTGAGTTAGTGTGAGCTAGCTCACAGTTATTTAGGCTCTGGCTCACACATTTTTGTCTTAGCTCAGGAAGGACGGCCCCAGAGCAAACTAATTTAGGCAGTAGCCAAATTGCTCACAACTTTTAATGCCAGTAGCTCACAAAGTAGAATTTTTGCTCACAAGACGCACAGTTTAGAGGGAGCATTGGTCACAACGTAACTATATAAAGGCATTACAATATTGGGCATTTTATTTTCGTTTTTGCTAATCCTAGCATGGAGCTTGCCTTTGTAACTGCTGCTGCTCACTGGGTCAACATTTTCATGCCCTCCTCTACAAGCAACGGCTAGACTTACCTACACGGATGTGTTTGCAGCCCAGGGCCAGGAATGACTGAGGAGGGCCATCCTCGCCAGTTGCCGGCCCGAGGGGTTTTTGTGCCCTAGACAAGGCCGCCTCGTGGTGCCCCGCTCAGATGCCAACTTCCCGGTGGGGCCTGGAGGCCTCCCAGCTGGCCGCCGGGGGGGGGGAGACAGTGACGCCACGTGAGGCGCTGGCTGCATGCGTCACTTTAGACTGGGAGTGTGCCTCTGGTTTGGAAATGGCAAGTGCTCCCCCCCCCCGGACCCTTCCCTCGAGCTCTCCTCCAAGGGCCTCCCTCCTTCCCACTCGGGCACAGACCCTC